ATTATCATCTGTAGATAGCTATAAATGTACACAATATATGTACTAGAAACACCTGGTACAGGTACAATTTCAATTACATTTCTTGCAATATGACACTGAGGAAGGTGAACAAAATTCAGCACTACAGTGTTAAGATATTTAATTTGGGATCCATTAAAGTTCTAATGTCAAGGAAGACAACATCTGAGATAAAATAAAGAGATTATGATACGTGGGCGATTACATAAAAAAAATACACTCAATAGCTACTTATAATGATGAGCTATTTGCACACAACACAAATTTCAATTACTTCTGGATCTTGATCTCCTTTTAGGTGAGTCTTGAAACACTTTACGTTTGGCCTCTCCAATATTCTTCAATGATGAACCTTGAGAGATACAGAATGTGTTTTTTTTTTAAACTGATATCCAAATATTTAACACTTAAAATTTAAAGTTAAAAACTTTTCAATTTTCCACAAAATGATGTTATTTCACACACACACAGATAGTTAACAAAACTGACTGCCATTTTTATACAAGTTTTTCCAAGTCTCACAAACTTTCAAACACTCCCTCTCATTCTTGTCATTGCCCAAAGCAGCACCTGTTGGCGTCTAATACTTCCATAGTAAGTCTTCTTAAAGTGCTGTAATGCTATTTAAATTTGAAAAATTATAGCTAGTTAAATTTGATAAAGTTCATGCAAATGCCAAACTATCTTCCCTCCTTTCTCAAATAAGTGACTCCAAACCCCCTCAAATATTTTGCAAAGTAATTGAGACTGTTTATCAAAACCAAACACCAGAAAACAGCAACAAAAAAATAAAAACAGGAAAAAAATAAAGGAATTGCAATCTTGTACAAAGTCCTATAAACTTTGAGGAGAACAATAAAATGCCAAATGGATGAAGGTTTCAGAATAAAGTTCGGAATACTTCTTCCTGAGTTGATGATGATGTGAAGTAATACACTTTAGGTATATATCAAGAAAAGGTGTAGCACTGATTAAATTTTTTAAACCATTTCTAGCTCTTCTATAGAAACAACACCTCAAATTTTACTAGTAGTAACACTTCATCTTCCCTTCCCACCATCCACTTGTAACAGGCAGTGGATGCAATGGCAGCTGCTTATGGGCAGAAGAAGAATGAGAAATCAGCAATGTCTAAACAGCAGAAGGTTTACATATAACAACTTTTCAGAACAATGAGCAAGAAATGTAGACTTCGTGGGTTGCGTTTATTGTAACCATTGGCATTCCTTTGCTATTGGCACAAACACCAAGAATTAAAACTGGAAAACAGGGAAAGCTGTTTTCCCTACAGGGTCTCAAATATGTGCTTAGTTTAACGCCACTATGTATATCAAATTTAGTTAGAGTACACTAGCACAGTTTTACGTTTACCAGAGTCTTCTTCAGATTTGGGGGAGGTCACTATGGCAAACTTTGTGTTATAGCGAGCTTTCTGTTTTTCACTAAGCATGTTCCACTGCGATTCGAGCAATTCTTCAATCTCCTCACTTGAAGCATCTGGATGTTCAGCAACCACCTATACATGCAGAAATAGGGTTGAATTAAAAAAAGGTGACCATTGAAAAGAATGGTGTACATACTTCCATCACTTTGGAAAACTGGGTACAATCAAGTTATCTAACATTTCTGCTGTAGACAGAACTAGAATAAAACCTTCTGTATCCAGTTTTTCTTTTAATAAGCACTTCTCTAAGAAAAATAATCCATGAGAGTATTCAGAAGTATTAAGACTAATTTTGGATGTATCTATTTGTTTTTTTGAATGTTAAAATGCAAAGTGTAAATCTTGTTGTCATTCAAAAAAACGTGTATGATTTTTCAACGAAATTTAAATCTATACCACGAACGACACACAAGCAACACTGGAGTATATGCTTCCCTAGAAAGAAATCCATCACTTCATAGAAAAACTCATTAAACACAGAGCTCAGTACACCTATCTCAGCAGAGAAATTTACACAAGCTACCATCTGATGCAAGATCTTCCTGAATGAATTCATCATTTTATATTATGTATATGAATATCAGGAACCCAAATGTTGTGCATCTTTTCTCAGGAGCAGGACATATAGTATCTATCAACATGGAATCTATCTATCCATCAACATGGAATTTAAGAGAGTTTCTACAGGTTTATTCAACACAAACTGAAAATCCAGTATTAAAACCCGGAAAAAAAAATCCTTCCAAACTCCTTCAGTATTCCCCTACTTCTACTTAAGGAAAACCAGATTTGATTAATCATAGAAGTCAAAAAGCTCTACAATTGTACAGAAATGAAACAGTACCTTTAAAAACAACCCTTCTCATCTCATTACCCAGCACTCTCCAAAGTTCTATTACTGGAATGATGCAACCAGTACTCCAAAAACACAGAGCAAAATAAAAGCTAAGACAAGAAAGCCAAGCATTCAAACAATAACACTGTTCAACAGAACAGAAATACAGTTTTTCTGATAAGTGGAACTGATTAAACCTAATTTCTTAGTGCCTTAAAACTGCATTTCCTGTTATCAAACAGGATACACGTGTGACTGATGCTTCTCCAGAGGTTAGAATAGCTGCAGTACCATCCTTCCACGGGGATAAGCCAGGGTCTAGTATGGAAATCTATGCTGTGATTTTTCTCCTAGTAAAATACTGAGAATTTTCTTGCTTCTATCTGGCATAACCCATCTGTATAAGGTTTGAAGAGTACAACTAGCTTTGGAGGCCTCTACTCAAAGCTTGATTAAAATGCAACAACAACAAAAAAGTTCTTGGGGTGGGGGGGGATATAGACAGACCCACAAGATACCCCCTCCCACAAAATCTTACTTCAGGAAACGAAATTAGCGACAATTTTGACCATTGCTGCCAATTGTAGAGCTCATTGTGCTCAACTAGGGCACAGAGCTATTTAATTCTCTAAGATATAACTAGATTTGTTCACACAAATGAGAGAAGTTTTAACATCATCTGCAGCCTCACCAAAATACGAATAAAAATAACTTTCAACTGACTAGGAGTGCTGTGAAATGGCAAGGAAAAGACAGTCATGGTTCTCAACAGTGAAGGGATCCTTGCAAATATAACCTCCAAAGGAAATGCTCAGCAGTCTTCTCCAGAGTCTCCACACTGCAACGCTCAATCCCAGCACACATACCAGAAATGATGTATTGGGTACCTTGATGTACACAAAAATCATGCACTTCTCCCTAGTACTTATTCTAACTACGCTCCACAACGCAAGGAAAATCTTTTCCTGGTTCTGGGAATTAACATCACTAAAGGTGTGGACGTGGTAATTGGACCAGGCACATCCTAGCTCACCCAAGCAAACGGTGTAAACCCTGCCAGCGAAATTGTTTCTTAATTTTCCTCAAAACGGACTCAAGGCCAAATGTAAACAGTATAGCTGTCTGCCTCTCACTGAACAATACCTTTATCTCCAGTCAGACACTCCTCTCTAATGATTACTACGGTTTTGTTTCACAGACGAAGCGCACAAGAGAGCCAGTTGTACAAATACATCTTCACTCCTCTGGTAACAGCACAAAACACTTAATGCGTCACTACAACCACAAAAGTGCTCCAAGCTTTCAGCACCTCTCCCAGGGAAGCGCGCCTCTTAAATCACACAAAACATTTTCCAGCAGTTAAATAATAATAATAAAACCAAGCCAATATATGAATTTTACTACAGAACAAAGCCAGACTGAGCAAGACACAGCAGAAATGGCTCTACTTTTAAGAGAGCTCACGATTATTAGAGGCCCAGAAGAGAATTTTTCAGTCATACCTTTCATTCACTTCCATCTCTTCCCAAGACTGAGGCCAGAGAGCCTTTTCTGGATACACAATCTTCCTTTTTTCTAAGGTTGTACACACAAATACTAAGACACCCATGCACTAAACTCTCTGATGCCACCAATACAAGTAGCTCAAAACCAGGTCTGTTTTTCAGCCATTTATCACTCCTTCTAAAGTATCAGAACATCTACAACACAACAAAACCAACGCTTAGGTGGAAAGCAAGATGGGCAAATTGGACCAGATAAACCTAAGAGAAAAGTTAATATAATAATAGTTGGATACAACATCCACCTTCCACCAAAGGCACAAACCTATAATTTTAGGGACATGACAGGCAAAAAGCATGAGTATCTTAACTAGTATTTCCTCAGTTTGCCAGTTAACTTTGAATCAGTAGTAAGGAAAGACAGGTCCTCCTGTCCTGATGATCAGTCAGGGGTGTCCGCAGTTTTTGTAACCTAGTTCTGTTCTACCCATACAAGTGTTTCTGCACCTGTTAGAACGGATCACACAATCAGGCAGATTTGGGTTTTCGTGACTGATCTCATTAAAAAGTATTCTAGGCAGAAATGGCAGGATGCCCTCTCTCTAAAGACATGTAATATTTTGAAACTAACTTCCTTCTGCTTTAAACTTTGTGCAACTTTAGTCTCTATCATCAGTGTGAATTTCAGGTTTATGCAAGCCTTTCAATTTCCCAAGACTGAAGACAAAGCATTACCTCAATTTCAGATACTGTAACAGTCTTCACATTTTCCATCTATTAATTTGAGAATTACAGTATAATCATAGCAGGGAAAGAAGCCTGATGACTGGCACAGAAAATAGAAGTATAACATTGGAGACTCAGTGTGTTTGGTTAAGGCTCCATAAAACAGGTTCGCACAATCTCATTTTTTCCAGAGAAGCAATTTCATGTCCCTCAGTATTGCACAAGACTTCCTGCTAAACACGTTAAAGGCCAAGGAAATTCCCTCTTGCAACGTCACTAAGAGAAGAGCTGGAAACAGAACTCATGTGTCTCCAGCATGAGACAGATGATTTACCCACACAGCTTTTCATGATTAATATGTCAAAATCTGTATTTAATGGTCTGGCTAAAACACCATTTCCTCTCCAGAGCCAGAAAACTGAATTGCCAATGCTTTTCTCAATTTAACCAAAGCCACTAAAAGGTTTGTGTAGTGCTATGCTCATTTTCATTCTCAATATCAGCTTAAGTTCCAATGATCTAAAAAGATAAGTTGAACCACAACTAATTGACTTCCACACAACAGAATCTGCTTTTCAATATTTCTTTATGAGGTTGGTATCTATTAATATTTTTAACACAGATATCCTATGACAAAGTCACCCATTCAGCAGCTATAGAGTATGACAAAGTCACCACTAACTTTCTGATCTTGAAATATGTAGCAGTACAGGAAAATATAAGGAATCACTCTAGCTTCAGTGCTTGGAATAGTGCTGCAAATGGAGTAGAAGGTTGCAAGAAAGAAAAAATGATGGTCATGATTTTAAAATAATGAGCTAAAACAGCAGTACTGCTTTTATACTTTTAACAGTCTTCCTAAAAAAAGATATTCTACCTTGTCTTGGAGTATAAGCATCCCAAGAGGACCTAGTTTCTGTCCCAGCAGATTAAAAACTTACAGTGACTTTCACAATCTTTGGTAAAATGCTTCTTTTGAAGCTCAGTAAAAAGTTCCAGGTAGGTAAATGAGTTTTTGAGGTGTTCAAAGGTAAATGAACACACCAAAGGAATTAACCCATGTCTTCAGAAAGTATGTACAAGCTATCTACATGTAGATTGCCATAAAGAGCATAATCTTTGTTACATTTGCTTGAGCGTGTATGTATTCATATCTATTATATTTTACATTCATTAAATAAAAAATATGGATAACACAAAGGACTATTAGATTATGTGGAAAGATACTAACACAATTTTGGCTTAAAGTACAACAGCATTATCACCATCTTGTTTATACTGCTCATCTACATTCCCCTCCTCTATTTCTGCCTAGACTAAGATTTGATGCAGGCATACCTTGTCAAGCCCAGAATATTATGGATTCTGCAGTACTAACTATTTTTTGTTTACTAAAGCAAAGAAGTTTCTTCAAGTACAGAAACGAGAAGAGGCAATCGACAACAGTAACAGCTAAAAGAGACTAACCTCGTCTCTGTGCTTCTGACAAAAGACCAAAAACTGAGATACTGCATCGCCCTTTCTGCTTCGCGGAGTAGACGCCGGAGTTTTCTTTCTATTGAGAGGGGAGCCTATCCCTCTTTTGGATTCTGCCTGTTCAGATGACTTTTGAGGAGTAGTATTCTTATCCTCCAACTGACTGCTTTCTTGTGTATCATCAGTGGCAGACAGTTTTGATGTCCTTCTCCTCCTCTTGTTAGGAATGCCAGACTCCTTCATCGACCTCAGGTTCGGAGTGGTTTCTTCATTTGAGTAAGGTGACTCATCCATCTCCTCCAGCGGTTCCACAGTAATGCCAACTTCCTTTGCCACTCGAGGATTAAGGTGAGGTCTGTCCCTAACATAGATGAAGGTGTACTTGGCCTTCCGTTCTTCCAGTGCCATGGCAGCTGCTTCACTCGCTTGCTTCACACCCATCTCCCACTGCGGCCGCAGCTTCCCCGACACGGGCTTCAACATCTGCAAGAGAAACCGACAGTGTGAGGAACTCGCCCGCTTTTCATTTCAAAATGCCAATGTTAACATAAAACAATTCCAAGAGACTAAGGGTAACGTGGATCTGTAATTCAGGAGGTTCAAATGGAGTTGTATTTGACAGTACTGGTACCGCGCGTGAATCAGTGACAAAGCAGAAGAGCACTGATTTTTACTGAGTAACAAACACTGACAAATCATCCCATCCTTTGCATCTGTAAATGAAATGTAAGACTACAGGTCTCTGCAAAACAAGCTGTCTTTAAGCTTTCTAAAATATCTATATCTGTACATACCTGCACCAGCAAAAGAAAAAGCTGTAAATCTTGTCTGACTTGGTAACCTCTTACCTTTATTTTCTCTGCTTTAGTGAGGGCTTGTCTTGCACTTTCCTGGCATAATTGTTCGAATTGATCTTTTTCTTTGAAGGGCACAAGGCTCTTCTCAAATATCCAGGCTCGCTCTGGGACATCTCCAAAAAACTGAACGTGATATTGACGAAAACTCTTTTTCTGTCCTGAAAATTAAAACCAAACGTATTTAAGACACAACTTCGGTTGTTCTCTTCACTTTCGGACTTGAAGTCTGTTTGCTAGCTGCTATGGTTACCATGACAAAAGCACAGTACAACTGGATAACCTTTCAAAAACCCACTTAACCAGCCTGAAAGTCTCTGAGATATAATCTATGATGTCTGACACAAAAGCCCCACAGATTAATTTCCATCAAGAATATGCTTGGCTAAATTAACTCAAGGTTACAATCACCTGTCACTTTTTTTCCATGTATATTAACTTACATCTAGGTCTGGATGTTGCTGAAAATGCATTGAGCACTCGTTTCTCAATTTAGAAAGTTCCAAAGCTTGGACAGCCTGTATACTCAGCCTCATCTCCGAGTCACCTAAGCCTTACATTTCAATATTCTTAAACAGAAACACATACTTCAGCTAGTTTTAACCATTGCAATCACAACTTCATGTTAGTCAAGATTTTTGAGGAATCAAAGCAATAAATTTAACAGATTTGGGTGGCAGAAGGGAGAGTTCAAAGATAAGAGAACAATTCTGAAACCTAGACAAGAAACTATTTATTCTTTTAAAAATAAAAATATTCCTTTTTTCCTAAAAAAAAAGAAAAAAAAAAGAAAAAAAAAAGAAAAAAAAAAGAAATATTTTCTCACTGTGTAACGATATAGGCATGCAACCTTCTCCTTTTAAAGGTCTCAGCTGTTCTATAGAGAACAGGGAAGACAATATCTTAAAAATTCACTGAAGAGTTCATAGTTAACAAGGAATTTCTAAAATGCAGAGGTAAGAGGCCAGACTTAAGATGTTCTGTAGCACCTCTTTCATTAGAACGTGCATTTGTTGTCACAGTGTTCAAATTAGGGTCTCATTTAAAAATGGAAAAGGTTTTAACTGTGATAACCTACATTTTGGTGTTTGTAAATTCGATCCTGCTGTATCAGTTACCCTCCCTACATTATCTCTGGTTCCTCCAGCATCACTGCTTAGTAAGTCTAACAGAGAGTCTGGGCAGCAGAGGAACTCAGGTAAGGATGGCTACGCAGAAGGAGCAAATAGCAGTCAATTCTATTACAGGGGTCTTCAAACTAGGTCTAGATTCTACCAGGTTATTCATACACTGCATGTCTTGTGGCTTAATCAGAAAATATATCCAGTGGATTGCTTCATGCACTGTTACTGGGGTGTTTCTAGACTTAGAAAGAACTTTCTTTCCGTGACGACTCAGCCAACAGTTATTTTAAAAGGGGCTTGATCTTAAGATGTGGCATCTAGAAGGGTAATATAAAATCAACCTAATTAATGATATGAGTAAAGTGTAATGTTTTACAACAATTACAAATGCACATATATATAAAAACATATATGAGAACTACAAGAATAATGATTCACTTGAGACCAGATATAAGAATCTAGAGGAATGGCACAGGGAAAGTCTTGGAATTGCATCCATCACACATCCAATCCCACCACTTCTACTGGTCCTTTCTCTATCTGGGTGTCTGTGGTTGACCACAGCCAGAGACAGGACCCTGAGTGAGATGGAGCTTTAGTCTGACTCAGTACAGGCTTTCTCACATGAAAGTGTATTTTCTGCAAGTCAAAAGTTACTGATTTTTCTCAAGCCTAATCATCTGGAAGGATGAAATAAAGCATTAGCATCCAGAAATTCAGATTGCTTACAAACACTCGATCCTAAGCCCAGAAATGACAAATACAGAGACCTAGCTCAGTATTTCTGCAACTCCCAGATAAAAGAACTGTTCTGTTTGGAAAAAGAGACTTTTGCAAGTGCCTCAATATTAAACAGCAGGTGGAAGGCAAGACTGGAAACATATACTGATGGAAATAACACACATCAGTGTGCATTTACCAGTTATGGTGGTTGCCCATACTCTAAACTCCTGAAAGAAAAGACAGGCCCAAGCCAACTCCAGAGCAAATATGAGCAATAACCATCACCCAGGTTACTTCAAAGAGATGGAACTTGAAGTATGTGGTACTCTTTCTGGTACTGGTTTTTGCTGGACCTACTTCTATAAAGAGCTGCCACAGAGATGCTTGGTAACAAAACATAAATCTTGCTCCTTTCAAGGGACAGAGTAATTCAGTTAGGAACAAATAAACAGCTTTATTACTCTCAAAATCCAGCTCTTTATGTCATAATAGACCTAATAATCCAATGCCTGATCCAAACTCTGAAAGACTGTTAGAAGGAAAATTTGTCTGAGGAGTCTACATAACCATTCTGAAAGCAATGTATTATGAATGCTTGAAAGGTTCTCAAGAAGCCATTTAGTTTACTACCAATGTTGGATCTAGCTATAATCCTAGAGATATTCATTCAATTTGCTCTTAAAAACCTCCTGTGAATGAGATCACACCATTTCTCCAGGCAATGCTTCACTACCTTTAGCCCTTCCAAGTCTTTCTTAATGCACAGTCTAAATATTCATTGCTCTTAAAGCTTCAAAAGTTTCAGGTGTCAGAAGAGAGAACAAAGGTGGAAATGAGATTAAGCAATTGTACAGATTCCTACTTAAAAATTTCATTAACGCTTGGTAGTTCCTGCACTTAAAATTGACTAATATTGTCTGTAGATAATAGTATTGACTCTATGAATTACAGAAAATTTAGCAGCCTGAATTACAGACTGCTTTTAGTGAAGTACAATCATCAAGAGCATTTAATTCCCATTACATTTCAATAAAATTTTTAGCCTGTATCACTTATCCAAGTATCTCTATAAAAACAACAGAAAGCACCATCAGAGAATTTTTTTAACGAGACTCCACGGTTTCACAGATCACAATTTTGATACCTTTCAGAGAACGTTCAGAGTTCAAAGTGGAAAAAAGTTCCCTCTGCTACATGCTCAAGAATGGTGTTTACATGATTTAAACATTCCTGTTGACAATAAGGAGCTGATTTAGTTACTGATCATCTGAACAGATGAAGAACAGAATTTTTCCAAAATTATGATTATGTATACCTGAGGAAATCTGATTTTTTTTTTTTTTTTTTGCATCATTGACATACCTTTTAGTTTAGTGTAGGAATGGAGAACAGGATCAGCAGAAACCATACATGGCCACCATGGGAAACCAGACACTTTTGACCACACTAGATCTCCTACATTATACTTCAACAGATGTACTTTTTCTTCTTTGGTGGTACTTTGAGTTGGATCTCTCTTAGCAGGAGCCTTAAAAAATAATAAAAAAAAATAAATACATTCAAACTGAACATTATCTTTCTTCCAGTATGCACCAAAAAAGCCAAACTACAGTTAGTATTCTATTATATGTGAAAACAGAGGGGTAACGGAAGGAAAAAAAATAAGAAATAGTTCATCAGAACAAAGTGCTGTCATGTTTGCTAACAAACAATAATTGCATTTCATGTGTAATAAAAAGCTTTAAATCATAACTTTTGTTCTCTCACAGTGAAAAAAAAAATTGTGTTCCAGTTATGGGTTTGTTTTTAATTAGCAATATTGGCAAGTAAGCTGTGGTTTGCCTTTATCTTTTCAAATAACTGCTGAGAGACCATCAGGAAGGCTTACTTTAATTTCAAACACATTAAGTGAGCACTGGATGTACATGTGGAAGAGCCAACCTCCCTCTGTACTGAGTATTACTAATCAAGTTAAGTGCTATACACAAACATGTGCTCTTAGATTTGGAAAAATAATAAAAAAAATAGACTGAAATACTGTCTTTATGTCTGAATAGAAACTACATTAATAACCAGTTTAAAATCCCCAAACTCTTTATCTTTCAATTGTTTTTTTTTCCACACTGGGAATTTGTGACAAAAACCCTTCCCCACACCCTTCTGCAACTTTTTTCTGTTCCAGTTCTAGCAGTAAGCTTGTGAGTGGTCAGCTGCTGCTCTAGAGCTATTTTAGCTACTGGAAAACAATTACAGAACTACAAGGGAGTTTTGTGCTCCCCTATGGCAGACACATTTTTATAGTATCATAACAAAGTTCAGCCACACAGACATCTATTCACCAACTAAAACCATTCCAGGAATTTAGTTACATTCTGTCTTTTTTTTTTTT